GATATAAGTGATGCCAAATCAAATTAAGTTGTATTGTATTCTCAGGAAAAGAGACTAACTTGCGAGATCAGAGTGCCTACCCACCTCATTTATCAACTTCCTCTTATAAGCGTCCATCTCTGGGGACGGAAGCTGAAAAATGGAGCTGCCTATCTGTATGGACTGTCTTAAAGCTTGTCAGGCAGTGAAAACACTCCTTGATCTTAATCACTTTATGAGCACGTGCTTAGGGGCTGAATAGGACTGGGGCTTGGGGCGTGCCTCTAACAGTTCAATTTCACAGGCACAACAAGACAGAAAGGGTTGCTCATGAGGCAGCGTGCCCAACTGGCAGAGGGGACACAGCATTCTGCTGGCTGGGCTCCTTCGTCCCATTCTGTCACCCGGACCCCTACGCCTAGGGGGTGTTAAGTGTCACATCACTCTCCCGGTCATGATTTAGGAACTCTCAGTTCCTTTAGCTACACTTTTTGTTCTTATACCCCCAAAAATAATTTAGAAAACATTATGTGCCTCCTTGCCCATTTTAAGTTAACTCCTGAAATTATATGTCAACTTTAGATAGTTGAGAAGGATGTTAATTCTGACGTACTGCGTAGTACGAGCTTTATACACATTTTTGTCAAAACTTCGGCACTGCAGATTTAGCATATTAAATTTCCAGGCGAGATTCACTGTGTAATCTCATTGGCAAAGGTGGTTTTCATGGTCAAACCATCCAGCCAAATCAGTCTTGCTTTCTGTCAGATCCAAGTCTGATTTCATTTTGTCAATTAAAATAAACATATTAGTACACACTTCATGACAACCATCTCATTTCGGAATATGAATTCTTAGATCTGTGGGTGGACAGATAAGGGCACACAGCTTTGCCAAGAGTTTATTACCTGGATGGAATAAGGGATTATATCCTTCACTATTTCTTACCCTGTTCTCATAGGACTCCTCTTAGAAGCAGGGCATTCTAAAATTGTCCCATGGTGAGATTCGGGAGGATGAGGGGTATGCATTTCTCTTCTGAAGTAGGAGTAAGGTGACTGTAAAAAGTGAGAGTGGCTGAAGAGAGAACTTGTAGATCACAAGCACGTTCCGGGAGAGGTCAGTTTTTTGGGGTTTTTTTTTTGCGGTACGCGGGCCTCTCACTGTTGTGACCTCTCCTGTTGCGGAGCACAGGCTCCGGACGCGCAGGCTCAGCGGCCATGGCTCACGGGCCCAGCCACTCTGCGGCATGTGGGATCTTCCCAGACCGGGGCACGAACCCGCGTCCCCTGCATCAGCAGATGGACGCTCAACCACTGCGCCACCAGGGAAGCCCTTAGAGAGGTCAGTTTTAACAATGAGTATGTATGGAAGGTAAGGATCTGGACATTAATTTCCTTTGAACTACCAATGACCAAATACCTCCTGGAAAATCATTAGGTACCACAAAGGTATGTGTACCTCAGTTTTAAAACCGCTGCTTTTAGACACATTAGCACTCTCAAACTGGGTCAGTCTGTGACTGAGGCCAGTTAACTGGGCTTCGCTCAGTATGTCCTCACCGGTGTTTGGCAGGGACTGACTTTTCTAGAGACCTGTCAAGTAGAAGGGTCAGAACCATGGAATTCAGACTTTCTTTCTATTCAGTATCTGTAGGTCTGGAGTTGTCATTTTAAAAACTCTCGAAGGAAGCAAAGAAGGGCATTCCAGAAATGTAAGGACAGCTGGGGATAGGAGCGCACTTGCTCTGGAATGTAACATTTCAGATGCCAGAAGAACAACGGTGAAGGAAAGTTAGGCAGGTGTTGATTCTGGATAAGAAGAAAAGCAGGTTGAAGAAGGGAGCCAACATTTTAAAGTACTTATATTGCATAAAATACATAAAACTCTCGCAATAACCCTGTAAGATATACAGTAAGTATTACCACAAGGAAACTGAGACTCAGAGGGGTTGAGCAGCTCATCCAAAGTTGCACAGCTCATTAGTGCCAGAGCGGGGATTTGAACCTAGTTTAGTTTGGTGACTTCAACGCCATTATATAATGCTGCTTCTCTCATGGTAAATACCTACTACAGAATGGGCTATCTATCTAACACCCTTAGTTTATTCTCAAAACAACAATAACAGAACAGATACTCAAAATTTCAATATCCTCTGAGTATCACTCCAATTATAAATGTAAGTGTGAGTGATAGATGTTTCAGAGGAGGATGATAAGTGGCTGAGGTGGAAGGCTGTGTTACTTCCCTTGGAGAAAGTAGACTCCTATAGACTATTTAAGATAAAATCCTGTGAACACAGATCAGCTTATATACAGAGTGAAGAAGGGACATTCAGATGATATCTCACACTAATGATACTGTGTGACCCTCCAGGAGAGAACACACACAAGGTGAACAAAGCTGTATGCTATAGATTCAGTTACGATTTTTTCTTCTTTATTGTGGCAAAAAATTAATTAATTTCATTAATTATGAAAATGAGTATGATTTATTTGAAGATGCTATTCTGGACAAAAATATGTCCCTCTCCCTCCCTTCCCCTTTCTATCTCTCTTTCTCTCTCCCCCTCCCTCTCTCCCTCCCCCTCCCCCCTCCCTCTGTCAGCTACTAGGCTCTGAAGTCCATGAGGGCAACTACTGTGATTTCATCTTGTTCATTGTTGTGCCTAGTGTTATGCCTAATACAGAGTAGACAGTCAAATTAACCAGTGATATGCCAGAATTCCAAGGTCTTAGGCTTTTAAACTGTGAGATGAGCTGTGTCATTCAGGCCCAAGAACAGATCTCTTTTAGGATAATAAGAAAAGATTTTATCAGTCAGGGTTTCTGATCTTTTCCCCAAGTCAACTCTGCACATCTTATAATAAGGGACCTGGCAACTCGAAAAGAAGTTAGTTTATTTATAATTTCATTATACTCAATTTTGTGGAGTTGTTGACCTCTTCGTGAATATGATGAAAATTATGGCCTCTCTCAGACAAGGAACACACAGACAAAATTTTGTGTACAACTCCAGTAGGTTCATGAACCCTTTAAACTATGCATCTCAAGTTAAGAATGCTAAATAATGAACCGCAGTTTAAGGAAGGGGCACATGCTTGTGCTAGACCTCTCATGTTTGAAGGAAAATTGACAAAAGCACGTTGAGCTCGCTTTGGCTATAATACCAAAGGGGAGACAATGGCACTGGTTCCAACGGGGTCTTGATTCTAGTGAGACGCTTTCGTGAAAGACCCTTTTTGTTCCCTTTGGGACAGATGCCACCAAGCACTGCTCCTTAATGACGGTCCACTGTCCAGCCCTTCCTAGCATGCACCCTTCATCCCGTGATCGGACAGCAGGCAGGAAAAGGGAATGGAAATAGGGCAGAGTTTGGATAGCGAGGCTTGCTGACTTGGTTCTTTTGGCTGCTGAGTGCACGTGCCTTAATTTCACGCTCCATGCCTCGAAATGTTTCGCCCTGAGCAGAAGTACTACAGGTCCGTTGTCTAGGATATTTTCCCTTAAAGGCCTTCCCAGAGGGATGCAAAAAAGCACAGATTTTTATATAGATGTAGATAATCCCTTGTGAGATAAAAAACATTTCTAGGTCATAGCAGGGCGCTGATGTACACCCCAGGCCTGTCCTCTTCCCTAACTCCTGCCTCTACCAGAGGAAGGGGGATTTACCTCCCTTCCAAGCTCCCTAACTTGCCTGCTTCAGACTTTATCCAGCCGAAACTAATCCTTAAGTTTTAAGGACGCAGGCCTTACTATGTGACCGAGGATTTTACACCTCTCAGAGCTCCACTTTCTTCATTTGCCAAATGGGGATAGTAGTAATAATAATAATAGTCCCTACATCCTAGGATTATTGTGAGGACTAATAGAAAGAATGGGTGAGGAACGCTTAGCTCAGTGCCCCTGGCACACTTGATCAAGCTGGCTCTTGTTATTATTTTAAGGACTGTGGCCTCTAGAAGTGGTGGAGGAGGAGAAACTAGGCACATTTGCTGCTTTTGTCCTTCTAAGTGTCCTTGTAAGTCTTTTTCTGGCCCTGACTTTTTCTTGCCCTAGTGCTTGTATCAACAATGTTCTCTCCCAGGACCAAGCCAGGGAGGCTCTAACCCTGAGCAGCTGACGTTCTAGCCATGCTTCTGAGACTCACAACTCATTTTTTGGCCACTGAAATACTACTGATGTCTAGGATGCCCTGGTCAAGTCAGTCATGACTGACCATTCTTTCAGCTCCTTCCTTCTCTCCCTTCCTGTTTTTATTTCTCACTGTCTTTTTACAACAACTATTTATTGAACACTTCTATATGCCTGGCACAGTCCTAGTGGTAGATAAACAGGAGTCGATAAAATAGACAATATTGCTATTCTTTTATGCTCTGGTGGGGGTAGAGGGGAGAGTAAATAGCAAACAGATGATTTATAGGACATGATAAGGGCTATGAAAGAAATAAGATGGAGATGGAGAGTAACCAGGGAGCCTGACTTAGATAGAATACCTTCTCTGAGGAGGTGACATCTAAACCCGGTGACTGTCCCTGTGGCCTGAATTAAAACCTTGGCTTTATTCCAGGTGAGAAGTGCCGTTTGGTGTGCAGAGTGATGGCTTCTCTTCGCCTTTCTCTTCTAACAATGGGTGGCTTTAAGGCTTAGGGGACGTCAAACTCCTGATTTTTACCAGCAATTTATTTTGTCAAGTTAAAAAAATATTATGACCCTCACCTGCTCCTTTAAATAGCTATTCACTTACTGTGTACCAGGCACAGGCATTTTATATGTATTATTTATTCCTCCAGTAACCTAAGAAAGTAGGTTTTATTATCATCATTATCTCTGCAGTCAGATAAAGAAATCAGAACATAGAGAGGCTAAGTAACTTGCCCCTGGCCACAGTGCCCAGCAGTGGTAGGGTTAGGGCTGGAATCCAGGGGAGTCTAAGAGCAGAGCCTGTGCCTTCTGTCAGTAGACTAGGCTGCCTCCCTTCTTGTGAAGTCTTAACTCACTTGGTTCTCCTTTCCTTTGTAGTGGTGCCAGTGAAGAAGAAGACACATGAAGGCCTGCCATCCCCAGTGGAAAATCATCCCTTCCCCTTGTGTGTATGTGACGGCGTATATGTAATGGCTTCTGATTCCTGTGAAAGCTGCCCAGCAACAAACGTGCTTCCACCAGATGCCTCCCCAGATCCACAGCAGGCACATAGCTCTCCAAGGAATGACCAGTTTTACTCTTACTGACTGTGCTTCTCATTCTCTTGTCGTGATAGGTCAAGGAAAATGCCCCTTTGATCAACCAGGAGCAATTAAAGGGTCCTTCAGGTAAATCCCTCGATGGCTGCTTTGAACTTGCTCAGGAAAGCCAGCCCCTGTCATAGTGTATACCCAAACAGTATCACTTCATTAAGAAGGATCTGGAATAATCTTGAAGGGCAGTCAGAATTTGTTTCCCTACCTGCTAATAAAACCACACTTTATTCATATTGAAGCATGGAATAAATGAGGGAAAAGTAGGGCCGAATCAACCCACATAGTTCGTCTCTAAAAGTCCATTTAATACATCTGTGAAAATGTGGTTTCATGAAATAATATGGACGGCTTGAAAACAGATAAAGAGTTAAAAGTTAGAAATATATAGAGATATTTTTAGTACATGAGGTTATCCAGGATTTCAGATTCATAATTCAGTGCTGTGGAAATGAAAAAAAAAAAAAAAAGATTGAAGAGATAGAAAAGAAATGACTTTTTTTTTTTTCCAAAAAAAAAGGACCAAAGAGATCTGATTAAAAGTTGAAATCGAAATCAGTATTTCTGAACTCAAACTGCCTAAGTTTCCAAAATAGTCACTAAAGGATCTGATGGAACCTGAATTATTTGAGTGGACTCTGAGGTTTTATGGGTCTTGTCACAGCATGAAAGTCTGGAATGTGTATTACAAATGGGAATTTTCAGTGTAGGTTTTGCTCCCCCTCCCCCAGCTTAGCCTAATTTGGCTTAAATGCAGTGTGGGGAGAATTCTTGGCCCTCTGTGGTGTGTTGAATCGAGCTCCATCTCCTGGCAGATATACCTTCCTTTTACTCCAGCGGGGACCCCTCTTCCCCTGGCTCTCCCCACCTCCAGGTCATCTCCCACACGCTGGCTCTCTCCTCTTAAGTAACGTGAGCAGAGACTCACCGTGGTTGGACTCTGGTCTTTCCCCACTCCCAAAGCACATTTCCTTACAACCGAGTTTTTTACTCCTAAATAAGCAATGATGTACTAGGGAATACAAAACTGCAAACTAAAAAACATGCGTCTTCTGAAACAGGAGTTTTACTTAACAAATGGTTTGGAGTCAGGGAATGACATTATTTTTAGATAAAACAAACACAATTATATTATGAAATAAAATGTATACATAAACAGTAAAGATAAAATAGGAGACTTCACAGAGAATTTTTATTAGCGAGTGGGGTGGTGTTCCCTCTCCTCTGCCTTTAGTGGTATTTTGGTGTTCGCTTCTGAGAAGTACAATTGGAACTACATCCAAGCAGCCTTAGGGTTTCTGTTGACTCAGGACCTAGACTTCTAGTGCCTCTGAGGCAGAAACAAAGGAGCTGCACTGAGGGGAGTTCCTCTTCCTGCCTGCCTGCCTGCCTGTATACCTATCACAGAGCTTTAGGGCCAACCGATATGTGTGTGCAGGATCGTTTTGAGGGAGAAACAATGCTTACTTACTATAGGAATCCTGTCTATATCACTGTTCAGTCCTGTGCATGCTATGAAATGATTGTTTCTTTGAGGCCAGGAAGCTACCAGGTATATATGCTTCTGGGTTAGGATTACCCTTGCTCGCTAAATATGTTGTTGGGACATTGGGGCTGAGAGTAGTTGGGGCTGTTTAAAAAAAAAAAAAAAGTTTCTCTCCAACCGGTGGCCAGCAAATGACTAAGACATTTTCGGTGCTTTACCTTTCTGCCCACAAAGACTGGCGATTTGGGCATACCACTAATTACAACCCCCAACCACATCCAAAGAAACTACTCCTAAAGGAGGACGAGTGGCCATTCTTAAAAGAGTTTAAAAATCAGAATATTAAGAAGAATTTAGGATTTGGAAGCTTGTGTTGTCTTTCCCCAGTAAGTATTGTTTAATCTCCAAGTAGTAGCCTTATTTTAGCAGTGGACAGATCACTGGCTCCTCCGTACCAGATCATACGTTATTACTTTAAATCAGTATTTGGGAAACCCAGGCATTCATGCAATGGATATGAATGGAAATACAAACACATGCCAGCCTGTCTCAATAAATTATCATACTCTGTAATCCTCAAGGAAAGCACTTTTGCTTTTACTTAGAAAGGATTTCAGATTTGCTTTGTGGGCTCCTGCTGTTTTCAGCACCTGATAAAACTTTAACCAGGGAAGCATTAAACACAGCTCAGCAGCTTCTGCCCAGGCTCCTGAGTTCCTGCCGGCAGCATTTATCAGTGTAAGAACTAAGATGCTTCCTGCAGTGGCACCAGCTTCCTTAAAGCTGGAGCATGCTTCTCGGCCTTAAGCCCCAGCATGATGAGACTTCCCTCCTACCAGGTCAGTAAGAGTTGCTCACAACTGTGCCCTCACTGGCTGCAGGGTTTGCAGAAATCCCTAGGGAGAAGTCATCAAGGGAGGCAGGTAATGAATGTCTTCAGAATGAATTGGGTCCTCACAGCAATCCCTGGCTCCCTTCCAAAGGTTGGGTATCTGGAGGCTAAGAGGGGGATTGTCCTTTGATTTGATTGTCATTAAATCCAGGACAATTCCAAGAATTGCTTGGAGTCTCTGCTCTGACAGCCTAGAAAGGGAAATGACTTAAAATATTGAGGACCAACTATGAGGACCCATTTCTCAGATGGTAATACAGATTTGGAGGGCAAGAGTCACTTGCCTTGAGTTACACAGCTAGGAAGTATTGGAGCTAGGTTTTGTACCCGGCTCTTCCTAACTCTGTGTATGCCTAAAACAGAGAGAAAAAGGCTGCAGGTTCCCCCCCTGCAGTCTGACCATTCCACTCTATGGATTCTTTTTCAAAGTTACATTTTATGGCTATAGTTGAGGCTCAGAAATGGCAGCAAGTTAGCCTTATTCTTCTACTTTAGCAGATACATTAAGTACATATTGCTAACTTGAGCCTGCCCCCAGGAGTTGGAGGACACCTTTCCTTTTTGGTGCTATTCCCCATAAATACAGTGTTTTTAGACCTTCAGGAGTATGGAACTTCTCAGAAATAGTAGAAGTGAGGAGTGTTCTGCTCTCTAACTTTATTTGAAAATGTCAGCTGCTACACTGCTGCAGAAAAGGAAATCTTCATATTTTAGTAAACCTAGCCAGTCTGTGAGGATGTGGTAATTCAAAGTCCTGTGAACCTAGACTTTCCTGCTAACACCTGATGTGTACACACACACACACACACACACACACACACACACACACACACACACAGTTTAACAAGTGAGAGAAATTCAAAGCAGCCGCTGCTTCATTATCTCGCATACCACCGCAGAGGTTTCTGCCAGCCCTGATTACAAGTGTCACCAGATAATGGGGCTTAGTTGCTTGCTTACAAGATGCTAACAAGAAGAGCAACTCCTTGGCAAAGGTTGTCAGCTCCTAAAGCACTGAGCCAAGGTGACAGCCCTGAGGGAAACCGCACTCCAGCCCTACTCCAAGGTGTCTAATGATATGGGAAATTTGGACACCCAGAATTTTTGGTGACCTGAGAGTCTAACCACTCTAGTCAGGCCTGAGGGCACGGCTGCAGAATTCACGACCGATAGGAGTGGCAGGGCTTAGGAAGTCCTCTCCTCCACCTAGAAAATATTCTCTTGCCAATACCTGAAATGCCACACTCAGTAGCTCTTCAACACATGCTTTTCGATAAGAAAATTAGTTGCATGTTTACGGTGTGCCTAGCACAACTGGAATTTTCTGTTTAAAAAACAAATCTATCTCTTTATGAATGGACTCAGCCCAGCCCTGAGAGAAAAGAAGGCCTGCAGGCCTGCAGGGGAGACTTCAGATCTCATTAATATTGCCTTACCCAACGGTGTTTCTGAAGCCCCACCACAGCCCGTTCCAAGAGTTGTAAGGCCCTTGGGGACTGCCTAGGAAAACAGTAGCATTTGGAACCAAGAACACACAAGAACACGCGCTTGTTCGCGCCAGGGCAGGAAAATAAAAATAAATTAAGACACTAGTGGGTATACTGGTACAAAAAGTGCCGCAGAGCCCATGCTAGCCTTGATATGACCTTGAGGGGACAGTAGATTTATACTTAATGGGACTTAAACCTGACCAATCTTTCTACAGTGACAGGCCACACTGCGTGGATAGGGAGAACCAATGAACCCATTGTCCTCTGCCTGTTTTCCTGTGCACAGTCACATTCCCTCCTCAGTCATCTTCCTCTTTCACACTTTACATTAAACAAGGGAACACTCAGTCTTTCACGGGAATTACACATTTGAGTTAATGTTTCAGTATATCATTTTCATACTGTAAGTTATTTTGTAAGAAAGATTTACTGCTCTCCCAGGATGTTTGGACTCAGTGCCCCTGTGCATTTGGAAATCAATAAACTATTACTGGAAATACCATTTGTCTCTCAGAGTTGTGCGCAAAGGACCCTGCTAGGTGTAAATATTCATGGTGATCTGCATTGTTAACTGTGATCATGCTGGAGATGATGGTGTTTTGGTTGTGAGAGGTGGGACGCTCATTTGCCCCTGACTTCTCTAGCATAGCTTAGGAGATCTCTGGGAGTGGCAAAAGGACAGACTTAAAGTCATTGTTATTTAAAGAAATGTTTTCTCCTCAAAGTGAAATGATCCATGCCTAGGTTAAATTTTCTGAGCAAAGTAGATTATAAAGTAAAGAATGCTTGGTCCTGAATGATGTTTTCAAATAACGTTAAAGCTTTACAATTTGGATTAGCCAGGGTGGTGGTCAAACTTTAATTTTTACCATATTTGCTAGAAAAAAAACCTTCATAGAGCAAATTACAGTTAGGCCAGCAAAATCATCTTTGGGGAACCTTAGAAGTACACATTTGATATAACTGACGAAGAGATAGAATTAAGTTCTAAATGAAGCAATTCTAGTCCAGTTTGTAATATCAGGAGCAGAGGATGCATTGAAATCAAGAGGCAAAATGTGAAAACTCAATATAGTAGATACTGTATGAATTAGAAGGTACAATTCCTACCTAAAGGCATTACAATTCAATTTTTAAAATCCATCCTTAAAACCCACCAGCAAGTGTCTGGAGGAACTGCAGTTTATGAACCCTGCTGTAAAAAAATTTTTTAACAGATTTGTCTCCATCAAACCCCTTTAGTTAGCTAGAGGCTGTATGTGAACTTTGGAGAAATTGTTCAAGATAGGGTTCTAGAGGGAGTCAGTCACTCAAGGTCATGCGGTGAGCCACGCTGATAAAGCCAGGCCGGGAGACTCTTGTCCCCTGTAACAATCATTAGGCCCACTTCCTCCCTCCCCAGTTGCTAAGCACACTTCTGCCTGGTGGGATGGGATCGCCAAGCACTGTAGTACTTGGGAGTCTCGGTGTTTTAACAAACCACAATGTGTTTGGAGGTTTTCTTCCCTACTACCTGGTGCCAGTGTCTCAATACCGCATCCCATTGCCTCAGCCCTTTTTCATTTTATTGTCTTTGCCTCTGAAAGCTACAACTCTTTATTTTGTTTCATTGATCTTTGCTTGGTCCAACTTACAGGTGGCCCCATTTCCTTTACACTCATAAAAGTGAAATTGCAGCTGGTCTAGAATATCTCCTGGCCTTAACAAGGCACCAGAAGTAAGTACACCCAGCAGAAAGTCAGGCTGCCAGTATTAACAAGAGAAGAAGGTGTCACAGAAAAGAAAACAAAACGAAAGGCGGCTTAAAGTCAATAACTGGCTGCATTGAGTATCTACTCGTTAAATATTAGAGTCTCCAGGTTAAATCATTCATTTTGTTAATAATAATAGCTACCGTTTAGTGAGGTCTTTTTCTGGGCCAGGCACTGTCCTAGTTGCCTTTTACGTTATTTAATTCTCACAGCACTAATATTATCATCCTCTATTTTATTGCTCAGGAATCAGAGTTAAATACGATGCCCAAGGTCACACCCTAATATGGGAAGCTAGGACCAGGTCTAGCAGACTTTACACCCTGGCTCTAAAGCTCTCCTCTCCTAGCTACACAGATTCCAGCTGATGCTGGTGAATAACCTTCACTCATCCACCCCCTCTCCGCAGACACATACAGTATGGCCTTGGGGCGAAGGAGTTTGTCTTTTTTAGGCCTTGTTTTGTACAGTTTGCAAAGTACAGTGTACAGTGAGGGAAGGAGGGTTAAGGTGAGCAGTGAAATTCTCTTCTGACCTGAAACTGCACTTTTGGAAGGAGGAAGCTTTTACACTTGCTTTATCTCCTTTATTCCAAGGCCATAAATAATGAAATCACCAGGAAAGGCAAAGCCATGGCTTCTTTTGCCATAGTCTTAGAATCCCAAAAGTCAGCCAACTCTGGCACTGAGCCTGTAATTTAATTAAACATGTTGAAGGCGTCTCCAACAGCTTGACAGTAGGCCAGCTTCATATTCTTGGAAAGGGACTGCAGAGGGAGCTTGTCTGTTTTATAGTTCATTTACTGAGTTGAACCCTCATGGCCGTAGCATACCATTTGCCTTACAAAAATGGCCCACAACCTTCATACCATTTTAGGGAGTCAGTCACAACTCATTTACCTACGGCTCAGTCAGCTTCACCTATCCCTATTTCTTAAACATGAAATCTGCACAAATGGTTTGACAGTAATTGAGACAGAACTGGAAAAATCTGAAACCTCTGCTGGACCCATTCAAAAATGACTGAGAACTAAGAAGTGAGTAAACAAGACTTCTGACCAGTTGAAATAAATAGTATGAAGCAAACACATAAGAGAAAGGCCATCTGTCTACCCATAAAGCACCTACTCAGAACCTATTTATTCCTGTTTCACACATAGTTCTAAATGTTTGCTGTCTGGTTTCCAAGCCTACAGCAGATTAAATTTAAGGGCACAAAACAGATTTCTAGAGGAAACTTAACTCAAGAAGGAGAAGGAGTTGACAGCAATAGAGAAGACAGAAAAAGTTTAAGTAGACTGAAGAGCTCAAAAAGCACTGTTTTAGGGGGGCATTTAGTGCCCCAAATAGCTCTTTACACATCTCAGTTTCTAAACACCTCATATCATAGGACTGTGTAATTATACTCAAAGTGATGACCCTGAGCGTCACACCTAAAGAAACTAAGTTATGCTCAGGAGAAAGCAAGAATTTGCATATCAAACATTTTAGAAATACTCCTATCACAAAGGTAAAGAAAAATGAAACAAATTCCCCTTTTAGGGGTTAAAGGAATAAACCTTGGACTATCCAGAACATCTAGCTGAGACAAAACATCCCCCACCTGAGGTTTTATTGTTCCAGGAGCCTCTTGTGTTTAGAGAGTTTTTTCATAGCTTTGTAAGTGACTTTCATGCTACAGTGCTTTGCATATAATGGCATGAACAATGGAAGTGCCAAGTTTCCAATTGATGAGTAAAACTAATAACCAGAATACAGGTCACATCCTGTTACAACAAATACTGCTACTATAAAAATCACTTAAGCATCCCTGTTATCTCTCAGCCCCTGTCAATTCCCCATTTATTTCAAGCAATAGTCATTACAGCAAACTTGGGGTATAATAAAAAGAAACTGGACCCTCACCACAAGTTGGGTGTAACACAATTTAACCTGTAATACCAGGTTCTTTCTTGTATTTCTCCAGTTCTTTGCTGAAAGAAAAATAAATCTTATGTAGACATAATACCAGCCTGGGAAGCTGGTATTTAGTAGTTGTTGCTAGGAGAAGGAAGAATTCAGAAGCAAAGGACACATGGAGCTGTGTGGCAAACGCTCACTAGGGAATTTGGTCTCCAGGGCCACTTTTGACCTTAATCCACATTGGAGCCATCGACCACAGAGTCGCTTGCTTCTAATAGTGATGTAATGCATATATTAAGCCCTGGGATGAAAACATGATTCACTTCCCATGGGTCATTGAGCCCTTTGTGGCAATCTGGCCCTGATCCGATGACCCTGAGATAAAGAAATTGAGAAACATGTGACTGGAACTATCCTTTATCGCAAGATGCACTGCTTTCAACACTGTTGATTGTGTGTAGAAATGATGTAAGTTAATCAGCTGCATTCCATTTGGTATACAGGCAAAGATTTTTCCCTGCCTATCCATGTGCTTGTGGTAATGATGAGTTTTAACATTTGCTATAATTTTCTCTTTTTTCTACTTTCTTGTTTTCTTTCTGTCCTTCTCTTTCTTTTACTTAAACACTTTTTATGACTACATTGCAACCAATATTTTGTAACACCCTTAGCAGCAGTAGGCGTTAAATCATAGTTCATGTCTGAACAGTACAATCAGCAATAGGAAAAGGAGTGGGGAGGGAGAGGGAAATTGTCCACCTTTTCCTGATGATAATGCCTGGCTCAGGCCCCAGATTCACATCATACTGTGAAGAAGTTCATAAATTCTGGGCACTGCTCAGCCTGAGGAGGCAGGCAATATCCCTTCATACCTCAGGGTGAGATGAATGGTCTGTTGAAGTCATGCCAGTACAGAATACGTTCACCTCTGCTTGCCTTCTCCCCCAAGCCAGAATGTAGTTGAACACTTACATGTCCCAGGCCAGAAGATCAGGGTATGAGGAGATTGAATACTTGGCTTGGCTCTTGAAAACATTGAGTCCAAGTGTAGTTCTCTGGCTTGAAGGTCGCCATTTGCTGCCTCACCATTTTTATTAGGACATCTGGAGATTGCAGGTGTTAATTGGAAGTAACTTTTCTGTATTTGGTTTCTCTCCACACATTCAGGCTTCTAGGACCTTTTGACCCAGTTGGATGGCTATATCCTAGTATCAGATTCAGCCTATTCCAAGTGGGAAGAACCATGATAGACAAGTAAGATTGCTCTTTGGCTCGGTGGCGGTGGTGGTGTTGACTCTTGTCAGTGGGGTGATTATGGGTGGCCATGATGGTAAAGAAACCACTGATAACAATAAAAATGGGTATTTTCTCAGCACTTAAAAAACCAATTTCCATCTGCTAACAGGGGTTCTGATCTCTTTTCCCAAAACTCCTTTTTTCCCTAGAAGATACTGGCCTGTCTGATCAAAAAAGAGCATTCCTTCTGAGACCATACCTAGCCAACTTATGGCCAAACTATACTTGCCTGTTAATTTACTCAAAACTAGGTTGCCTTTTAAACCTCTTTCCCCACCTCTGGCATGAGGACAAGACATGTGGAGGAAGAATTAGGTCACCTGGGGGTCCACTGTTGCATCTGGTTAAGTGGTGTAAAGAAGCCAAGATTTCTAGAAGTGTCTGTGTTTTGTCGTTTCCGAGATGGTGAGGAAATCTGTCTGGAGTGTTTATGCCCCTCTTCATAGCCAAGCCATGGGCTTTCTTTTGTATCGTGCTACTGAGGTTAGTCACCGCCCTCAGAAGGGACAATTTCACGATGACTTACTTCCTAGTAATCACTGGAACAGTCTCACGAGGATGCGCACAGCTGCTGCGTTTCTTTGGGCCTGGCACGTTCTCAGATGGCAGACTTGCAGAACAAATGAGAGGCCTGGCCCGGTTCACAGGCAGAGTGATCCAGAGTTCAGGCTTCCCCTTGCCTTTTATCCTCCGCCCTCCTTCCTCTGTTCCCCCACCACCTCTTCTTCTGGTCTCTCCATCTGGAAACCATGAGCCTCATGGATTCCAGGCACAAGTCTCAGATTTCAGATGTTTGGGAAATGTCTTTGCTTGGGTCATTCTTCAAGAGTAAGAGAATTCAATTTGGGAGGAGAAACAGCTGAGACCCTTCCTTGCACAGAAGAGAAAATAAATAAGGTGTGGTACATATCCATCCCCTTACCCACTCAGTTCCAAACCCACACACAATGTCTGATTTCAGAAACAATATTGAGATTCCCTCCTGGGAGGGAACAGAATGGAAAAAACCAAAATCTCCACTCCTAAAAACATACTTTTCTCCCTTCTGAGGTATCAACATAACTGGCATCAGATAATAGGATGTAACTGATTTTGTGTGTGGTGTTGGGGAGGGTCTCTGGAGGGTGGAACTAAGAGTGATGGAATGAAGTGAAAAGTAAAATGTAGCCTAAGTTGTTAGGGAGGAACTGTTAACGTTAAGAACCACTTAACCCCAGTGTTGCATCTCCAGGAAAAAGAACAATGTGTGGTCTTCTGTCCTTGGAAAATGGAATGAGCTTTCTCCTAATAAATAACTAGGTTTCAGAAGCAGACAGACTTGGTTCTAGTACTGGCTCTATACTTAACTAACTCTGAGGAATTAAAGAAGCAGCTGGATCTGTGGGGCTTAGTACAGTGCCCGACACATAGGAGGAACTTAGTAAGTGGTAGCTTATGACCACTGTGTATTGTGATGAGCATCACTCATCACATTGGAGTCCTCTTGGGGCTGTAGATGGAGCCTGCCCTCATGTTGTCCCACACTGGCTTGTCTGCGCAGCCTCTAGCTCCTCCCCAAGGCTACTTCTTAGCCCTCTCTACCACACCCACCCAATTATGCTTTCATGTCAGTTATAAGGATCTCAAGTTATATGTATTTATTTGTTCATATGGTTACTGTCTGTACCTCTTTGAAGCTTGTATTGTTTGTTCACTGATGTATTAGCAATGTTGATGAAATTGCCTGACCCAAAATAGATGTTCAAAAATGTTTGTGGACTTGCTGACTGATATCTTGATAGCATTCGTGTCCAGAGTTACTCCAGGTATTAATTACATCTTGATGCAGAAAACTGGGAAACACCTTTAGCTACATCTGCCCCAGCATAAGTGACCAGAGCACTCAAAAGGTCTTTGAGTCACTTAGAGTAGAAGAGTAGGTCACTTACCTGCTCTTCCCAGAAGAGGGAAGAGAGTTAGGAAACCTAACTGCCATTCCTACTCTGCCACCAATAAGCTATGCAGCATTTGGCAGGTCAATTTCCCTCTCTAAATACTCATAAAATGAGGACTAGAATCCACTAGATTGGAGGATCTTTCTGCCTCTTCCAGATCTAACATTGTAAGATTTTAGCAAAGCAAGAAGTGACAGCGAGAACGGCAAGATGCTTCCTCTAAGAATCCCAGCTTCTCTTCCTCTGTGTGTGTGCACGTATGTGTACACATGTACATGCACATGTGCAAGCAGCAGTGGGGTTCAGGGGGCCAGGGGGGACACGTGAACTGGGGCTGGCCAGGAGAGCTAGACTCATGTAGACTCTGTGGAGAGTGACATTTCCCCCAATGCTTTGGGCTGAATATTCCAGTTATCCCCAAATTCCTGTGTTGAAATCCTAGTCCTCGATGTGATGGTGTTAGGAGGTGGGGCCTTTATGGAGTAATTAGGTCATGAGGGTGGAGCTCTCAGGTGAGGACACAAGGAGAAGTCAGCAGTCTGCAGCCCACAAGAGGGCTGTCACCAGAACCTGACCAGGATTCAGACTTCCAGCCTGCAGAACTATGAGAAATAAACTCTTGTTGAAGAGCCATCCAGTTGATAGTATTTTGTTATAGCAGGCCAAGCAGACTGACACCAGATGTGCATAAGCCATGACCAAAGGTACCGTAGTCGAGTAAACGGGGAAGTGGAACAGTGGGCTGAACAAAGCTGAGCAGGTTTCTTCTGTGGGCCTTCTCAGACCTCTTAATGTGTTCAGTTGCACTGTGGAATTTCAGGAAGGGGTAGAGTACAGTTTTCTGGCGTTCCGTCTAAGAATTTTAGGCAACACTGATTTAGGGATGAGTCCAACTGACCTCATTTAACTGGTGAAAAAACTGAGGCCCAAAGAGATTAAATGATTTGCCTAAGGTCACACAGCTGTTGGGAAACCTGAGTTCTTGCCCAGATTTGGCCACTGTCTCCCAGAAGAGAAAGTCTGTTTATTGGCCCAAGAGCCTACATTAGAACATTCTAGGAAACACCCCAAGATTCCCTCTTTGATACTAAAGGGAAGCATTGCATAGGCTGGAGTTCTTAGTCTCAGGCCTGCACAGACATTAGCATTCGGCACAGTGCAGACTTCCTCCTCAGAGTGGCAACATCTGGAACCAAGCTGTGGTTCTCTCTCGCTTTCCCTTTCTCTATCCTTCTCTGCGTGTGTGTATATATACATAGTTTTCTCTCTCTCTGGTTCTCTCCCTCTCCCACACCCCAGTTCTCTTTTCCAGGCTGCATTCTGGGGTTACTTTTGTGACGAGTAAAGGCAGCACTGGCTGCTCGATTGAGACCTCTGCCATAGCAGTACACCAGGCACCAGGGTGAAGGTGCTCAGTAAGCCTTGTGCGTTGGCCAGACCTTTTATTCCAGCTTAATGGTTACATCCATTTTCTGGACTAGGTAATTAAGGTGTAAGGTTATTAAAAAGGGTCACGCAGTTGTGTCTGGCCTCTGAAGGAGTTGACTGTGGACCATTCTCAAATGCCTTCCTTGGCACTTTAGCCTTGAACCTTCAGGTGCACTCGTGGGGGCATCAGTGTGGCAGGCAGCAGCACAGGGGTGGGAGATGCCAGTGAATGTGTGTGTGTGTGTGTGTGTGTGTGCGCACGCATGTGCGTGCACAGGCACACGTGTGGCAACACCAGAAGGAGATGTGGGCACATCAGGAAGAATACCGCTTGGCACCCCTCCAAACTGCTATTCTTTAAATATTAGGTCAACATTTATTTAGAGGAAAGGGTGGTAGGCACCTTTCTGTGAGTGTGGTGGGCAAGCAGTCGAGGCTATCCCTACCTGCATTCCACACTCATAGAGACAAAAGCCCTGACCCCCTTTTTTAGAAAAGACCAATTAGGGATCCTCTGTTGTTATTGCAACGTACTCTTTTGCGGTCTCACCCCAACCACTAACAAATGACTTCCAACTCCACACATTATCTCCCTGAAAGGACTTCTTAAAAGTACAATTTTGGGGCTTCCCTGGTGGCGCAGTGGTTGACAGTCCACCTGCCGATGCAGGGGACACGGGTTCGTGCACCAGTCGGGGAGGATCCCACATGCCGCAGAGCGGCTGGGCCCGTGAGCCATGGCCGCTGAGCCTGCGCGTCCGGAGGCTGTGCTCCGCAACGGGAGAGGCTACAACAGTGAGGGGCCCGCGTACTGCAAAAAAAAAAAGGACAATTTTCGACCTCATTACAATTCTAGTGAAGTTTTTACACCAGCCCTCACCCTCAACAGACTGGTCATATGTCATGTGTACATGTGTGTGTTTATCGTCAGGCTGGTGATTTAGTGATGACCCTGTTCCTTATATAGAAAGTGTGTGTGACACTCTCATGTGGTCACAGGCTGTCTCCTACTGAGTTCAGTGCCTTCCAAGTAAGGAAGAGACACAGGGCAGTATTTTCTTAGGAGATTATTATATCCACTGGAATGTAGCAAGAGCATTGAGCAATTGTAAGGAATAAATATCCCCACTTGCTGGAGCAGCTGTCTTTCCTCTGCCTCCTTCTTCTCACCCCTTTCCGTAGTCCCCTCTGACCCTTTCTCTCCCAGGGACAAAGGCATCGTCCAGAGGAGCTCATGGACACAAACACACCTGGACAAAAGCTATTGCCTGAATGGTCCCCAGTTGTCATCACGATGTTGCACACCTATGGAGAGATTCCATTTCTAAGAATGCACAAAACCTATGGCCTTGAACTGGATTTACCCACCATCCCACTTCAGGTACTCTTAGCCTTACACAACAGAACACCAAGACAGCCAGGTAATGGAGGGAAAAAAAAATCAACCGATTGTTTGGCAGAGATTAAATGGAACAACTACTAGGTCAATTGAATTATGCATTTAAAAATGAGGTTTCAGGGGCTTCCCTGGTGGCGCAATGGTTGAGAGTCCGCCTGCTGATGCAGGGGACACGGGTTCGTGCCCCGGTCCAGGAAGATCCCACATGCCGCGGAGCGTCTGGGCCCATGAGCCATGGCCGCTGAGCCTGCGCATCTGGAGCCTGTGCTCCTCAACGGGAGAGGCCGCAACAGTGAGAGGCCCGCGTAATGCAAAAAAAAAAAAAAAAAAGGTTTCATAGGCACAGCTGGAAAGAAATCCTCTTGTGACCTTGAGCTTGAGGTCCTTGTACTAACGCCAAACTCAAAGATTTGCTAATGAAGACTCAAGATGGTGACACTTCCAATAATATGCTTCCAACTGGATTCCTTTCCCAGCAGTGGTTGCCAAGTTCACCTCACATTTTACCAAGTTCTCTCTTTCTAAAATAGAGGTAGGTTCTCTTTTGAGTAAAATAATGGGTCAGAATGCCTAGGTTTGGCATTTATTAACGTTACTTTAAACAAGTAACTTACATGCCCTGTGTCTCTATTTCCTCATCTCTAAAATGAGGATAATAATAGAACCTACCATTCTGGATTGATGAGATGACCAATAAGATAATGTATGAAAAGTGCTTAGTATAACACCTGCCATATAGTAACCCCTCAAGAAATAAGATAGCTGTGATTGATATTAGCATTATTATAAATTGATTGATGAAGTACAAAAAAGCCTTTTAAAGGAAATTTGGTTTTATCCAATCTCATGTCTAGAAGTCTAACTGAAAGAAATATGACACATGTACAAAGATTTTTGCATAAGAATGTCCATATAGCATTGTATTTAATGGGAAAAATGTGGTAATGACCTAAGTATCCATCAATAGGAGACTAGCTAAGTATCTTAGAGTTCTTCCATGTAGAGGACTACTGTACAGAAAATCGAGGGTGGGTTTTGCACTGCCTGTTCAGCACAGCCAGCAATGCTTTTGAAAATCTCCAAGGCCTCCATGTTTAGATTGGCAATTACAGCTTTCCTTCCTGCAATCACAGAATATTCTCTGGGATCTAATGAGATGATGATTTCGTTTTACTGGGAAGAGTGGATTTGCATCACTCAAGACAAACTGAAGAGGCACAAGCCCTGAAGAGGAAGGAATCAAGAGGCTTGGCTGAAAGATGCCCTGGTTCCTGGTGCAATCCCATCTTCTTCCTATGACCTTTAAGTCATGGGGCCACTAGGGCAGAGCAAATGAGTTAAGGACCTCACTTTTGGCCATTGGAAGCCCTCATCAGAGCTTTCTACCATGAGAGGAAGAAAAATTCATCTCCTAGGCCATGTTAAAATAGAAAAAGTGGAATGACCTTCCCCATCTCTTACTGCCCCCCAATCCCAATCCCCTGGTCTGCTCCCTGGGGTTCACCTGTTCCCTGTAGCAAAAACACTAGCTTGGGAGTTGAGCCAGGCACCTCAGCCACTTTGCCACTTTCCAACCTCTGCTCCTCCAAAATGAAATCCTCATTTCTGCTGTGTCTGATTTCTCCCAGCCAGGAGCACTAATCAAGATGCTGTTCCTCAAAACAAGACAAAACAACCTCTTCATCTGAGGTTCTTGTTTTGTTTGGGTTTTTTCTCTCTATCCCTGGACTGCTCTGTGCTTGCTTTCCCTAGACCCCACTTTCCTTGCAGGGGCAGCCTTCATTTTATTTCAGTTTAATGAAAGAAGAGGAGAGAGCACAGACCACAAGAAGGAAACACACTGTAACTCTGGGCAGTCCTTATACCTGCAAACTCTACTTCCTATTATAGTGACCCCATTATATACATCCTTGAGCACTCCATTTTGACCGTAACCCTTCAGAGTTCTTCCTCCTTGCAAATGAGGCAGAATGAAAAAACTGGAGAGAA